CTATCACCGCCTATTCCCCATCCGATTTATTCCGCCTTTAGTCAGTGCCTTGCTCACTCATCCACTCGTTCCACTCACAAACTTATAAAGACACGCCTGAAGCTTACAGGCGGTCTATTGTTCCTTATCTCGCCAGATTTCTAACAAACCATGATCTCGTTGCAGGAAATCTGCGCAAAACGCTTAACACCCGGGTATGCCATTGGTTTCTGATGTTGCTGTCCTTTTTACGTCCTCTAATTGCTATATTATATTGTTTTTTCACTTTTTGTTGACGCACTGTGGTTATGGGGGTGCTGAATATCCACTTCTCGAGGTGTATAAAGCCATTCCGTGACTTGACTATTATTTTGCCCTCAATCACACACGGTTTTCAATCTGAGTCAGAAGCTTTTCGGTAAAAAAAAATGTTCGGATTATGATTTGTACCGCATCATCACGTTGTAATTCATTTTGCTCTTAGATTGCTGCCCGTTCAGTTCGGCTAATTGTATTTTCGCGTTCAGCGAACGACTGAAAATCAAGTTATGATACCCGAGCTACAAAGGCAACAATCAACATAGTTGTTTACAAAGGTTATATACATATATATATATATATATATATATATGTTTTGCGCAAGGTGGTTCCATGGAAGTTGTAGACTACCGCTGAGTCAGCACGCCCCAAATGCAGGTGACCACACTTTGCTGTGTTGACTGGAAGAGCCCAGGTGTCCGCTCACTGAGCCAGGTTATTCAAATCCGCTTAAAGAGAACTTCGATCATTCGGATCCTTGATTGCACGCCAGATTTTGATGTCATCCACAACGCTAGTTAGGCTGACTGATCGGTAGTTTCCAGGGTCACTCCTATCCCCAACTTTGAGCAATGGAACAATGACAGTGTCCTTCCANTGACTGGTGAACCTTTAGTCGACGCAGCTCCAGGGCCACCTCTCCGATGGTAAATGGGGCCCATTTCAGCGCAGTGTCAGTGTCCAGTAGATGTGCCAGTGTACTGGATGCTGGGGTGTACACTGAGGCATAATGTGATGCCAGCATCTCCGCTTCGTCCTCATCTTTTTCGCTTAGTACGTCATCTTTGGCGAGAGTCGGGTGACCAGGCGTTGCTCTGATTCTTCGTCTAAGGTAGGAATACAATTGCTTTGATGCCTGTACCGAATCCGCTACTAGTCGTTACTCGAATCTGGTTCTTTTGCATTTTTTAGTGTAGTACAATGATTCCGAATACATTGATATTTCTTATCCTACGCCTGTTGTACGGTACATGGACCAGGCTTTATTCCGCTGCCGGAGGCACGCCCACAGTTCTCGCTCAAACCACGGCGGGCCCAGAGCGTGTTTGGTGGCGGTGAGATGGAGAGAATTCCTGTACGAGTTGATGGATTCTATGACGAACCAAATCCCAGGATACATCCACATCCTCAGGGTTTTGGGAATCCCAATTTATGAGCGATGCAGCCTGACGCATATCCGAAAAGGATGAGCACCGCACATTCCGTCCGTCCTGTGGTCTGTCCGTTTGGGGTACTCCACGCCGCCAGTGTATACGCAGAACGGAGTGATCACTAGATGCAATTGGTGGAAGGAGGTCAATCCTAGTCGTATCTGACTGATTGCCTCGGCGAAAATACCAGGTAAAGGATGGATCTTTGATCCGCAACTATCCGCGCGGGCACATAAACATGCTGAATAAGCGACAGGGCCTGGACAGCGAAAAGTTCTCTGGAGAACAAATCTGCATGGTGAGAGCAGATGTCAGTTTCCCAATCAACATGGGGCGCGTTGAAATCACCCAAGACAAGACAATATCCATCACAGGCGTACCTGTGTATGCTGGCCAGCAGCTCTGGAACGTACACAGCTGGTGTGCGGTAAATTAGTCCAACTGTGGCATACCCTCCGGCCCCAAACTTACTTCTGCACCACAGGGCCTCTCCAAATCCTTCCGGATGGGCGTAATTCTCCAGCACTCGAACAGGGAGACCCGAGCGGACAAAAAGAACAATTCCTCCACCGCGACGTGAAGATGATCGATCCGTTCGAAACACTGTGTATTCGTAGTGTGACATTTCAGAGTCCCGAATATCCGGTATCAGCCAGGTCTCAGTGATTGCAAAAAGATCGGGATGGTGGGATACAACCCAGTCCTCCAGCTCGTCCCTTTTTCCCAGCATCCCTCGGATATTGGTTGAGGCTAGCACAGCGTGGTTACCTCGCCATTCACGCCTCAAGCTAATCCCCTCGTCTGTCCTGGGTCCTCCCACGACCAAGGGCAGCCGACTTGAACGGCGTACTCCGTGTGTGGCCGAACGAACGCTGATAACAAGCGTGGGAACAGTGCTCTTTCGGACTGCCCGAACACACGTCTGAGTAGTCCAACTTGCTTTAGAACCATGGATGATGCTCTGGCACAGTGCGTGGAACATCCTATGTCCTCCTGTACCATAACTCCCAAATCCCTTTCGTCAGTGACATGCGGTAGTATTTGGTTCCCCAGAACGTAGGAGAAACGAGTCTTATGCCGCATGGAAATGACTCTGCATTTGGAAACGTTGAACTCGATATCGTTGGCGATTGACCATCGTTGGGCTGCGTCGATCGTTTGTTGGAGTGCTATGTGATCCTCAGGATGTGGTACAGTTCTCCAGATCTTGGCGTCATCTGCAAATAGCAGTGTAGCAGCCCCAAGGACATGTGACAGGTCGTTTATAAATTCAAGAAAGAGTCGAGGCCCCAGTACGGATCCTTGAGGAACCCCCCGGGTAGCGATGATAGGCTCTGATAGTGAATCACCAACACGAAGTGACATGGTTATTTGTCGGAGATACTCCTTGATCCAGTCCAGAACCGAACCTCTTACTCCGTAGTTGAAGAGTTTTTGCAGTAGAATTTGGCGGTTTACTCGATCAAATGCCTTGGAGAAGTCCAACTAAGCTATATCCAATGGCTGGCCTGCATCGACGGATACTCCCATTTCGTCAGTAGTGGTTGACCTAGACCATGATGAGTTAAGAGGCAACTTAAGAGAACGGAACAGTTTTTATTAACAACAAATTAACAGTGATAATAAGTAAGATGTAAAGTTTGTGTACGCTAATAGTCGATTAGTCTGCCTTTGTTCTTTAGAACGTTTTCGAGTCTCGAATCCACCAACTTCGTAATTATTTTTTTACTTCCTTTTTCTGTTTATTGAATATACAAATGTACTGTCAATTTTCAGGAAAGGGGCTGCGGCCAAACAAAGGCTGCCTGGGGAAAATACACATAGGGATGACAGACGGCAGTGGAGCGGTTTGAACCTGAGACACACAGGTCACTGGTTCGTGACGTAACCACTTGACCACTACCGCCCAAAGTATGAAGTCATTTTCTATTTTGTGCTCCATAACGTATCGCACTTTTGCCTCCAATGTCCAATATGTGACGTAGCACATTGACCTCTCTCTTCAAAACAGAAAATATATTTTCAATCACATTGAAATGCGGGCTATTAGGGGAAGTTGCATGCACCGGGCCTTAGAGTCACACATCGTTTCTGAAGTCTAAAAGTAAATAATAAGAGAACCAGACTACCTGAATTAATAAATTTACTAACCTCTCGTGAAACATGACGGGGAGCGTTACGGTGAAAAACGATAACTTTTTCAGACGATTTTTTTCATGAAATTCTGGAAACATTTTCGTAATTACTGATGCAAATCTTCCACTATTCATGGTGCCTTTGACTGATGTCCACCAACAAGGCTGACCATGTTTTATCCCTGCCCAAATGAATAATCTTGACGGGTGAGAAACTCTTTCATTTGGTGGAATAAGTTCTGGGAAATTCTCACCACAAATGACTTTTTGTGAGCCTTTTAAGGCTCGTCACACACCATGCACTTGTCGGCGAAATAAATCGATCGCCAAAATGACACACGACGAGATTTGAATTCTGGGGCAAAATCAATACGCGCCTGGTTTTGCTGCACGGTCAATGCTGACTTGACGTCAGCTGAAATCTGACGCATCTTAATTTTTTTCATGCATCTTTGCAGAAAGGAGTATGAATGACGGGGAAGATCTTCCTGTTGGATAGACGACAACGATTATCTGCAATGTTTTTTCAAAGTAATACGAATCGGGTCGCCCCCCTGTTTGGACGTACTCGGTTTACGGCCCCCACAAGCTTTTCTGGTGGTTGTTCTCCCTGTAAATTGTGCTTTTGTTAACGTTAAATCATTGGGGATAATTCTTGAATCATTCTTATTAAAAAATATTGCGTTATCATACTTGATAAAGTTTGCGGTTTTCATGTTCAGATCATTTAATCTTGGCCCTCAAGGTCAGGCATGTTTAACTAACACTTATGCAGACTAGAAACTACGTAGATCGAAGTAGGCGAGATATAACCTATTGTCCATACCTAAAGCATTAATACAGGTGATATTAAATAATGGAACTCCATTTAATCATAAAGAAAATATTTCAGTGCATCACAATCGACCAGTACTGTATGTAAATACGTGAAGCGATGTATCGGGTAAAAACAAATTTCTCCGCGTTTCCACTTTGTTCCTAGGCATCAATGAGATAATTAGGCATATTGTCGTATGTCGAAACGATACCGAGACCTCAATAACCGGTTGACATTATGCTTTGGACAGAGACGAATTCTCTGTTGTTTATTATTACTGCTGCCATTATCTATTAGGCAAATTTTCGACCTAACACTATCATTCCATCCTTTTTTATTGGCTTTTTTTACCGTATCAGTTCTAGTAGCTAAACCGCATAAACTTGTCAAAACATGTCTTCCTTTCCGTCTGCTAATGTGCAACAGTGTCGTGATTCATTACCTCTGTTTCTTTACGTGTTATATTAAGAGCGAAATCTCCGTCAACATTATAAATTCCGAGGTTAAATATAATTCGCATGAAACTTGTTGCTTTTTGCGATAATTTCATTACCATGTTCATAGGTTATGCGCCTATTATTCACTACCCCTGTCCCATAGGTTGTTGGATTTCTCTCCACAATTTATTCGGGACACATTCATGGGGACTGGAAGCGGTTACGGTCCAGTTTCCTCTTTTCCCAGCCTAGATTCCGCCAGTCGTGCCATGGCTCAAGGTCGTATTAGTTCGCAAGGTTTACCGGGGGCTGACTTGTCTAGCGGCTGGAGTCCAAGAGGAATTGCACCAACTTCTGGGAGACATTTGACGAATCGCGACCCAGGTATGCCTTATGTATTAAGGTCAAATTCGTATAGTTGTATTTTTATCTCTGGACGGCGTAAATTCGCTCTACTTCCAATTTTGTCTCTACTCATCCGCAATAATACATGTAAAATTACAGCACTCACACTATCGACTTTCCATTATAATACAGGAACTTTCTTGTTGGAACGACAAAGCCGTCTTCGTATTAATCGGAGCTACCCCGATGGAGATCTGTCTGAAGGCCGAATGACTCTGATCACTTTAGCCGGTCGCTCACTTCGTTCAGGATCAAGACAAGATAAGGACGATCATATGAGCACTGACTCTCACTCTAAGTCTCCGACAGCACCAAATCACCTGGTGGGAACAAACTCAGTCACGTATCACGGTCAGCCTTTGCTCCAACAGCCGATAGCTTCTGCCCTGCAGTCCCCGAAGTTCACAATATT